TGTTTTGTTGGGTAACAATATTAATCAAGTATTATTTCCTATGCAGACTACATTGTAGAAAAAAATATGGTCCCTTGGGGAAATTGCGAGAGTTTCAACAAGTAAGGTTATTAACGAGGGTTTGAGTTAGCTGAAACTAAGAGCTGTAAACCTAGATGATGAACTGAAATCAGYCGTTCATTTTTGTGCGTTCTCGACTATTCTTTTTCAAGTCTTTGAAAACATTCTTCACTCCCTGAGACCATTCACACTTCAGCCTAACAATATATGTTGCATAATCCTAGATACAATAATGAGATTAAGTTTTGTAAAGAGTATAGAAGGCAAACTTCATTCAAAGGAAAGGATTCAGCAGACGCTTTATGCATATTCAACGGTAACACGGAAAGTCAAATTTTCGTTTGTCCACGGTTTATCAAACACAAGAAGAGCATGTCAATTTAGTTTGACCCATAGCTCTTAGTTATTAAGACGAATAAAAGCGACCTGACTACAAACGAGCCGTTGTTTACACATGAGTAACCGAAGTGACAAAGTAAGGGAACAACAAACACATAATAATTTGCTACATGTTGTAAAGTACATTTTCAAAATTCACTACTCTAATCATCGCTACCGATATAAAAAAACATATCCTCACAAAATACTTGTGTGAAAGCAAGAATTAGACAAAATCGMGGGGATTGTTATTTCCTTACCGTCATCTGGAGGCTTTGGTAGAGACATTAGAGGCTTGGGGACGTCTGCAAAAACGACTGGAATTGTAGAGTTTTGGACATGATCTGCTAGCGCAGGTTGAGCTCGCATGCTTTCTTCTTGTGTTTGCTGTCTTCTTAGAGCTACTTGTGCAGCCATAACCCTCTGCCTCTCAGCAATAAGTGTACATTGTGCACAAGTGCAGTCCTTCCACCGGCAATAGCGCTTGTGTCCCTTCAGCCACGATACGGCTCCGTGATTCCAACAACGAGCACACTTCGGAACTCGTTTTGGTTTTGGTTCTGAGTACGAGTTCTGAGCAATAAACGACGGTTCATTCATAGTTCAACTAATGTAAAACTAGCTCTTCACAGCAAATCCTTGKCTGGTGTTSAGTTCTTGGCTGGTGTTCTCTTGGCGAAATGGCAATCGCGAACTTGTCGGCATAGAGATACAATTGTTGGCTAGCCATTGTCCAGGCCAACACCTCATCCGCTATTGTTGTCTTTTGTTGTAGWTATTTAGTCAAGAGACGTGATTGGCTACTTCAAAACTGTTTCTGTGTGTGTTATGTCATTCTTTCTAAAAAGTCAGACAAACATGGCTATATTTTACGAAGGGTTTTGACACTTATCAAATTCCCTGACATCGGAGTTCTGACCGTCTTTTCCTTTGGGTCTAATTTGCAATCTCAGGACGTGGCAATCTTAATCCTGAGTRGGCTCGCAACAGCGATCGATTCAAGAAACAAACGCTTTGAAGTTTTRCACTTGAGATTTGTTACACAATGTGATAAGCATCACTGGGGGTTTGTTTGTATAGTTAAAAAGCTGTTTTTATATGAGATTTGAACGAGCGTTTTCGCACTAGTACTGAGAACAATTAGCTACATGGATACATACATCGTAAAACATTCGTTACGCTTACTAATTGCTTTTGCTATCTGATAAATTTGGACAAACTGAAACCTATAAAAGGGCGACATGTATTCATTAATATGAGATATTTAAGCATAGTGATTGTGGTTGCTAACACCAAGACATTAAAACATTCTATACTCAACTACTTGCATACTTTTCTCTTCCTCTTCGAAGACACGCACYGAGTTGTCAATATGAGTCAGTTAAATCAAATCTTAAAGTGGATTGTTGACCGACTGAGTTGACATCCATTTAAATCACGGGAAAAGCAAGTTTCTTGATTTATTTGACATCTTATATAGGCATAGCAACTTAAATGGGTTACAGTAAGGAAGAAAAAATAAATTATTGACATTTGAGTACATACGACGTACTCGATCAAGTACTACAAACTTAACCGAATCGGTTGAAGTACGCGTAGCTCCCAGGTATTTATCGTATAAATTGCAAGTAATAGAAAAAGCAAGTCAGAACACCAAGACAAAAAAAAAAAACGAAAACGAAAACGAAAAAAAGGAAGAAAAACGCACGGATAAAGAAATAAAGAACATACATTTAATTACTCATCTGAAACATTTGATCCAAAGCCTTCATGTATATATGTACCTCTACTAAAAAAGAATAAGAGGTCTAAGAATATGCATAGAAAATTAGACRGCTGACAACTAAATTTCACGAGCAATTAAAGTATCCAAAATACCTTTCGAAAGGCTGAATGATTGAAAACACTGAATCGTCATTATCAACARACGTATTCTCCGTGATTGGACACTAAAACAGACCAGACATGTGGTAAAAACCCATCAAAACACAAGRCAATATTCTTTCTATGTGTGTCAATCTTAGCATATAACTTTAATAATCTGCAGGAGAAGAAAGGCTTGATTTGTAAAACTCCTTTAGTTAATTAGCACGGTGACAAAGGTACTATAAAAGCTTATACATCAGGTGAAATAGAACAACTGGCTACACAGCTGTCGGAGACCAGCCCTCTGGAATGACTAACTTCCTTCTTAATRTTGTTTAGCTACTGTCTTCGAAACGAGTGCATGTACCTGAGTATTTGGCTAAGAGAGCACTTAACGAGAAATTTTTATAACCTTAATTAAGATGTCATAACTTGAAAGGCGCGTGAAAAGTAAAGGTTGTAAAGCGTATGTTCTCGGAAATGAGGCGATGTTTGCATTTTCTGGTGATCATTCTTGTTATCATAACTCCTATTAGTGGACGACGTGCAGTGAAGAGTAGAAAATGCACGCGACTTTTTCATCCATCTTTACGTGTCGTAGTTTTGCTTGTTAAACAGCTATGTGGGTACAGACTGTACCTGTTACCGATTGTAAATAGCGGTTATAGTCGTTATAGATGGTTATATTTCCGATGTCCCTCATTTTTCGTCTCATTTCAGTCTCTCTTGGCAATGCATAACCATCACTTGTATGSTCGTCCTGACAGTATATCTTTCAATTATCCCTTGAAACGAACATATTCTATGAAAAGTGTTTTTGGTGATTTGCCGTGCTTATCGTATTCCATTTAACGATCGGATCCCACACCCGAAATGCATTGTAGTAGCTACGTACACAAGCGCCGTTACATCGAAGGTCATGAATCTCCAATCGTTGACAAAAAATCTTGGATCCCGCGTAGCGTTTTTTGTGTACAATATCTATAATCATATTCGTGTATCTCAATACTTATCCCCCCACCCCTGGAGCAACATTGCTAGTGACCTTGGAGGAGTTTAAAATTGTGGTCCAAGSGTTTTGGCAACGATGGGGAGCCACTCGGGACTGCTTGATCTGCCGCAAAACCCGGAGCCCATTACTAGGAGCCTTCRATTTATCCCTCTTGGTGCCATTATTTTTAGAATTTCTTATTATCAATTCAGCGGAAAACAGCCAATCATAAAGCGTCT